AGGTTCTCCTATAAGATAGAACTTGAGGACCTACGAGTACTCCTGGAACATAGGATTTGAGGCCCAAATCAAGCCCTAATCAAAACCGAAACTCATTCTCTGTCTCGCCCTCATCCACACCTACATTCTCATCCTCATCTACGCCCTCACTTTCACTCAGCCTCACGCCTACACCCTCAACTATTCGGAGAGCAAATATCGTTAGGGAGCAAATATCGCTGGGTAGCAAGTGTTCCAGGAGCAACAGTCGTGCTACCATAACAATAAGTCTGTTTCCATATGGTTATTATACGGTTGTTATGTTTTGTTCATTTGTCTCAATAATGGAATTATCTAAATTATGGTCACGTTTCATTAACAATGTTATACAACTTACAATAAACAATGCAATGGTTCGCACTACTATTCGAATATGATTGTTCAGCATTATGCATAATAATTAAATGATATGTAAATGTAAACAAAATTTTATAGAGACTATTCGAAAGCTAATGAGAAAGACTATCGACTACGTTCATAAATTTAGTTGTCAATGCTGTCATTTTTCTATATATTGTAAATTTTTATAAAAATTCTAAAACTTCATCTAATCACTTCAAAAAGTCCAGATAGCTTTTTTTAAAGAATATCTCATCTACTGCTCTCTCGGAATTATTGAATATCGATTCTGTACGATTGAATGTTGTTAGCAAACCAATCATTCTTTGAAAGAAGCAGTTCTATTCTTTTTGGAGAATAACTATGAATATTGATGTTTTCGTTATTCCTATATTAATTGGAATACACTAGGAGGAAACGGCAGACTTTTATACTTGAAATTATTTTGCGTTACTTCAAAGTACTTTGAGCTAAATTAAGCTACTTCAAACGTACTTTGAACTGCTTTAAATTACCTTAAGCTATTTTGAACCACTTCAACCTACTTTAAGTCACTTTGCTTACAAGATGGTCGACTAGAGCGTCAATTATTCTTACCGAGAAATAAAGAATTTATTTTTTTTCTATCATTTAATTTAAATTTCTTTTGTAGTCGATTTATACTTTTTTTGGTTTTATCACAATGATTTCGATTTATTTATTTTATTAATCGAGAATAAAATGAGTCCCAAGATCATCATTTTCTTGATCAACCTATCTTTTTTTTCTAAGGAATAAAAAATATTTTATAATGCCTATGCTTGTTTAATAAAAGACTTTCATTACTGTTCCCGTGAGAAACAGTATACACGTGTGCTAAAGAAGACATGTGTTGTTGATAGTTATTGATTTTCATAAAAACACCACTAATGATGATGATGATTGACATGAAAAGACAAAGAAAGATAAACAATATACCGATTATATAAATAATTAATTCAAATTAAGTTTGTACTAATCATTATTCAAAAATGACTCGCAGGCAAAGAGACATGTTAAATTTCTTTTAAAAGAAAAGTTAACCGGGAAGAGATATATGAAACATATTGTTTAAGATGTCAAACATTTTTTTTATTTTACATCTTCTATGAACTAATCAAAAATATATTAAATGTAGTTAGATATGAAAAATTTTGTCTTATCAATAGACATTTTGGCACAACCAAATCGATTTATAGGGCAAAAATCTTGTACCTTCTTCTTGGTACTTATATGCTTCGTTTACAAACATCATGCCTTTAACATCCAGATGATTATCCATAAATATTTGGTAGATTTATTCAACATAAAAATTCCAACCAGAATGAATATATAATATTTTTTGATCCATCTCTTTTTTTAATCTTTTACATTATCCTATTTGTAAATTTTACCTCAAAATTTATTATATAAGCTGCTATTTTTACAATATGAAACAGATTTGAAATTCAACACAAATGATTTTCATAAAAAAAAGTTTTCCATATAGTTTGATAAAGAAGATAATCAATGGACAAACGAATATGCTCGAATCAAATAATACTATTCAATATATTGTTTTCGATCGGTTCGATCGATACGTAATATATTATCCAATAAATATCATTATACGAAATGGAAAACAACAATCACTATTAATAATGGATCGTCTTTTGGAACGGATAAGAAAGTCTTGATAATTAACAGAATATCATTAGTTCATAGAAATTATCATCAATTACCTTTCTTTTAATCTTTTTCAGATCGATATATGTAAACGGCTGGAGCAAAAGTTTTGCATTGATTTTGTTTTTGATATAACTCTAAGATGCAATGTCGTAGAGATTTTTTTTTTCTGTTAGAGAGAGCAAAGTGTCTAGTGCAAAAATATATAAAAGAATTTGATTGAAAAAGTCTTTCGAAGACTACAACAATCTTAGAACAAAAGGAATTGGAAAACTCTTGTGCAACTTTTTTAAATTTAGAAAAATTTCCTTTAATTAGACAGGTTCTTTTTTTTATTCATCTAATCCATATTTTATAATGTAAGAATAAAGCATTATTGCTTTACAAAAAAAAAAAAAAAGAAATTTTCTACATGTTTTATAACGGTCAAAATGAACGTTATGATATCATCTGAATCAACGATTTTTCATCAATGTCAATAGTAGTCAAAAACTAAATTCTGTTTTGCAAGGGAGGTTGCCAGAAGCTATATATTTTATATGAAAAAGAAAGGTTATTGAGTCCTCTACCAAACGATATTGTTTGGAATAGGACGTAACTTCTCTGTGAGATATTCAGACAAAAACTTGTTTTCGAGCTGCAATACCAAATTCGAACAATTAATCTTTTTAAATTAAACTGTGTTTTGTATGCTGTACCAATTATCTTAATACCAAATGAAAGCCTTCGTTATAATGAACAATTGTATGTATCTGGTGCTCGAAAGTATCGAATGTGGATAATGAAAAAGCTCAAACAAATATTTTTGGATAAAAAAATGTGATCAAAATTGTGGAAGAGTTTTTCGAATCCTTGCGATCAATGATCACTGTGGCCTTTGAAAATTATTTCCAATCAAATTCTTTTATATATTTTTACACTAGACATATTGCTCTTTCTAACAAAAAACAATCAAGTCCCTACAACATTTCATCAGAGAGTTATATGAAAAACAAAATTAATGGAAAACTTTTGCCTCTGTCGTTATTTCTTTTATTTTCGGAGAAAAATAATTAAAACTTATTTCAGATTTTATTTTCACTCAACAAATTTTTTTTTAATAGAATTTTTTAAAATTCATATCATTTCTTTTCTGACTTCGAGAAAAGTAATTAAACAGCATCTTTTAAGAAAACAATAAAATGTAATTTTTTTTTATTAGAATGAATCAACACACAACGTCTGCTACAGATAAAACAACATTACAAACATCGTCTGTTATTCTATTAAAGACACATCGTATTAAAATAAACAAATTATCATCTAGTATTCGTATTATACAGGAACTTGTTGATCAATGTGTCGAACAAGAAAAAGCTTTAGCACTTGTTGTTAAAACATCAAAACCATCCAATAAAGTTGTATGGTTTAAAAATACTGCTCGTAATAAATATAATGAAACTGAGCGGATTTTTAATGATAATAAATTTCATTTAATCTCACAAACAACTGTACATATCTTCATTATATCAGCTGTTAAACTTGATGATACAGAAGAATATTTTTGTCGAATTGAAAATACATTAACATATGCAAAGATTGAAGTAATAAATGAAAAGTCAAATACAAATCAACAATTATCACGATCATTAATTAATAAATCGACATCATATGATTTTAATACATTTGAAGAGGAATTAAAATTAATTCATCCATTACCTGAACAAATACGCTTAGACAAAAATGATAAGCTAATCGTTTTTTGTGAAACCAATCGTAAACCAAATCATGTACAATGGTTCAAAAATGAATCAAGTCTTTCATCCATATCAAATAATTTGGAAACTTATTATTTCGATTCAATTTCAATATTAATTTTATATCATGTTAATGAAGAAGATTCAGGTTTATACACGTGTTATCTTGGAGATTATTGTAAAACGAGATGTACAGTACAAATTGATGATTCAAATTTGATCTATATAGATAAATCAATTCCTTGGGAAGAAATAATGGAACCAATTGAATCTATTCATTTAAAAATAAATAAAGCATTTATTTCATTTAAATGGTATCATCCGAATCCGAACGAAGAAAATTTACCAGATTTAATTGATAATAAATTTAAAATAGTATCCGAAAGTTCAACACAAGAATTAGAGTTAATTAATACAAAAAAAACAAATTTAATTAAATATTTTTTATCTTTCAAATTGATAGACAAACAATACCAAATGATAATTATTGATTTAATAAAAATGAAAATAAATAATGATAATCAAGATTCTCTAATAAAATCTTTAAATTCAATTGAAACAAAACAAGTAACAGAAGGTAAATTATTTTTTTTAAAAAGCAGATTCTTCTTTTAGACAATCTAAAAAATGACTATATTTACGTATTAAATTTCAATTTAATTCGTTTTTTTTTTATTTTAGGTGATGATTTAATTATCGAAATAATTTTTCAACATGATCGTAATTTATTATTAAAAGATTATCTTATTTTATTAAAAAATAATGTTCCATTATATAATGACTTTGAAATTAATCCATCAGATGATACATCATCAGAATTAAGTCATTGGATTATTAGTTTATCAGATATTAATTTAAATGATGAAGGTGTTTATTCGATCCATATTAATCAAAACTTAAAACATTTATTTGTTTTATCGATCAAACCGTGTTGTTTACAACGCAAATCAATTATATTATCTAAAGATAAATTTAATTTGCACGAAAATTTAGAATTTATAATTCAATTGGAAGAACCATTATATGATGCAAATAATAAATTAATGTAGTTTAAAAATGGTTATCCTATTGAATCATCAAATCAACATATGATAAATTCTATATGTTCAGTACCAAATCAATCAACAACACATAAATTAATTATTCAAGATATAACTTTTGCAGATCAAGGTTCAGATTTTTTGAATATATTTAAGTATTTATCTTTTCTTTGTTTTTTATTAGGTATTTATAGCTTATGTAATTCTAATGTTATTTTTGAAACATCATTTATTCATGTTTTTCGAATGCCTATTGAACCACCATCACTATTACATACAGTTATAAAAAGTTCTGATTATGAAATAAATCTTATTATTAAAAATTTATCTGATCAATATATATTGCTTTATAAAGGTAATCAAGCATTACAAGATTTAACTAAAATGATTACATATGTTGACAATGAAAAAATTCAATTAAAATTCAACAATATTAAATTATATGGTTATCGAATTTATCAAATTAATATAAATAATAATAATAATAATCAATGTACAACTGTTTGTTCATTTAATTTAACAGAACAACAAAAAGAAAAATGTTCAATCGACATCAATCAAAATATATTGAAGAAAGATGATTTAATTTTGTTATGTATTCAAAATAAAAATATCGTTTTAAAAGAAATCCAATTGCTCAAAAATATTTCACCATCAACTGAAACATAAGAAATAAAGGTATGAAAGTGTTTTATTTAATAGAATATCTCGTATTTCTCCTTTATTTTATTCAACTGGATTTAATTGTATTCTTTTCAATTTATGGATAAATTAAAAGAAAAAATAATTATTTCCATTTATCTTTAATATTCAATTTGAGATGATAAAAGATTTTCTTTCATTTCATTTTTAAAAATTTATTTTTTCTCCAATAATAAAAAAAAATATTTCTTTATATTGACAAAGATTTCAATATTTATTAAATTTAAAAAAAATGCAACAAAGTAATTTTAATTGTGTTTTTATTAAATATGCTTTTATCTAATAAAAAAACTTAAAGATGAATTTGAAATTTAGTAGAAATCTTCAATAGTTTTCTATGAAATCTGTTCATAATCGCTCGTTGTTAAAGTTCTTTGATTATTTTGCCACATGTTCCACACGAATAACTCAAATAATTTGTTTGTTTTTTGTTAGATTTCAACCAAAAAAGAACAGAATAAATATATGATTATGCCAAGATTATCAAAATTAAATAGTGTGTTTAATTTATTATTTTATTATCGTTGTGTGTCATCGGAAATAGAAATTGATTCAAAATTTTTTTATAACGGTAAAATTCATTTAAAATATAGAATTGTTTTTTAATAATTGAATATTTATTATAGATATACTGAAAAACTGTGATGTAATTGTGACGCAAGATATAGCAAATGTTTCAAGAACAACAATATCAACTGAGTATTTATCAACATGCTATCTTATTTTAATGAGTTTCAATCTAAATCATCAGTGTTATGCGTACTTGAAACATCATTCAAGACTTATCACCAAAAAAACTTCTGCACCAGAATTACTTTCAATGTTTTTAGAAGATATATGGATTGAAATAAGCACTATATTATCAAAAAAATTTCGTTTATCAAATACATTCGTGTGAATGATTTAAAACATTTATAATTAGTGATAGGTGGAGGAACACATGCTTCTCGTGATGCAATTCGTAATGCATTCGCATTATTAATAAATCCAGATCAATCAATATTGGATATGATATTCAAGCATTGCAATATTGATTGTCGATATTTAGTTAATCATTTGATAAATAAAATAATAATTATAAAATCAATTGCATGTGCTCAAACTAAAGAAGAACTTGAATTGATGCGTAGTGAGTTAATTATCTAAAAGAATTCTTTTTTTTTAAATATGAAAATATAATGTCTTTTAATAGATCATCCAAATGATGCAAATACCATCTTACCAGCTAATTTATGGGTTACATATAACTGTTCAACAAAAGAATGCATTTTCAGTGTTAGATGGACTTTTTCTACAAATACAATTGATCTAGCTCTGATGAAGATTGATTTATTTAACTCAAAAGATTTAAATTAATTTGTATGGAAATTTCAAAATAAACATATTCAAATATTAAGACATAATTTTCGAAATCGATCAGATATTTTAGAAAAATTTGAAAAATGTTTTTTATATATAAATCAAAATTCATTATTTATTCCGTTAGTGATCGAATGAGTTATTATCCAGATTTTCTTGATAAAAAAAAAATTGAATAAATTTTTTTTTCATTTAGTTATTCGTTGGAACCTCGTAGTAATGATGATCCAGATGAAGACGAAGATGACAATGATGATGATGAAGATGAACTTGAACATGAACATATTGATGGTTAAAATACAACAGATAATTAAACAAATATAAGAACTATAATCTCATGTATTGTACACATGCCTTTTTTTTTCATTATGATTTTTGATTTATGAAAAAGAATAAAATTTTATTAAAACAATGAAATGTTTTATTAAATTCAGAAATAATTCTAGTTCTCATTTAATCTTTTAGATTAAAATTAAATTGTAAAAAGAGATATTAATCAAATAAATATGAATTTTGTCAAATATATAATTAAAATTAAAATAATAATTAAATAATTATATTAGAATTTTTTTATTTGATAAACATTTAATAAAGAAATACAAACAAAAGAGAAAAGAAATTGTTGAAGAGAATATTTAACATATCATAATATCATGACGAGAAAATTATATCCAAAGACGAAATCTAGATATTTCAATGTCAATCTTACTATGAGGAAAACATTTTTGAACCATACAACGGTATGATTTGACTTTGCTAGGATGAATTTTTCCATGAATATCAAGAAAAACCAATTGTTTTAATTGTTGAATTAATTGACAAAGATCTTTTTGAAAAATATTTACATGTTCAACTAAACAAAAAGAATTTATTTTTTCTTCTTAATCAATCTTTGTCTTTCTTTTTTATTTCCATACCAATCGATTGAGATGTTTGTAAAGATTTTATCCATCGTGAAACTTGAATAGAAGTCAAATGTCCTCGTGTTATATCTGGTCGAACTAAAATAAAAAGAGTACAATCAATTAATATAATGGACATGTCTGTCTTAATTATGTTTCTATTTTATAAAACAACAAATGATAATCATATTCTGTACTTTGAATTGGTTTGTTGTAGAATAGGAATATTTAACACATTCACCACGATGAGACCCACTGGTGGTAATTTTTCGTTCTCTCTTTTTGGTTGCCATGCATTTCAGTAAACTAATAACAATGAAGTCTGAATTTTTCTATAGCGCAATCACTAAGAATATAAGATTCCAATATGCTCTTCCCTGTCTTGTCTTTATCGATATTGTTTCTCTTCATGTTTGGTATTCTGCCACCTTTTGTATTCTTTCTATGGTATGTCTTCTTCTATTATCATTGTGAATTGTCTTCGTATAAATAAATTACGTTCATACATATATAGAGAGTAAGTGAAATAAATAGTTACGAGGCGCAAGTCCTCTGTGTATCGTCCTTATATCATCAAAAAGAGATAAATTTTCTGTTTCAATACATAATCTTGATGTAATAGAACGATGAATTCTTTATATCTGAAAAAATCCTTTTATTTCTATGTATCTAAATGGATGATGTCCACATTGTGCGTGATAATAACAAACAAAAAAAAGGATGATAAAAAGTACTTTTCATTTGAATCTACTATGTGCCTTCTTTTTTTTCTGTACCAGCAAAAGCAAACAAATTAGTGTTTACCATTCGTTTGATCAATTTCATATTGCTTAACAGAGTAATTATGACTAGCAGATCAAGAGCTTTATTTAGCCAACAAAACCTCTCATCAAAATTTTTCTTAACTTCGGTTGGCCTTACGAAAAGTTTCAGTGATTGCGGTAGGAATGAAATTGAATGTCGTACCTTATGTGAAAACACATAATTTTTTCCATCGTCGAAAGCAGTGAACTCTAAAATGGAATATTTTTAGCTAGGGTCCGAGTGGATCCTGTGCAGTTGTTTTCTCAACGCAATCCTACATCAACATTCATACCCACCTGCAGACACCAACGCACATCCCAAAGATAGCACAAATACATGAAAAAATTTGATGTATTTATATTTTCTCTATAAAATTGGTCTCATATATTAAAATACAACATTGAGTACATAAAAAGGCTTGTCAAGCACAGAAACGAGAAAAAACCTTCAAAAGATGAATTATGAATGATACTACACCAGGCTTGAGTATTAGTTTATTGTGTATATTCTAAGTTTGTCCAAAAAATATGATCTGTCTAGAATTTTCGGTCACAAATTTTGTTTATAGAAGAGTTTGTCCCTCTAACTATTATGAGGATGTTTTATTCTAAAACATAAGGACAACAACGTTCTATGTTGTCTAAACAGAAAGCGTAAATAGTGTACTATATTCATAATTCAGTTTGTAAAAAACAGAGTATTTCTTTATCGGGACGGTTATATGCACGATAGTGTTTATCATATGAAGTATTTGACAAGAATACGTTCAATAATCATGAACTGTATGTTCAAATTTGGTTTAGATTCATTGATTTGATACCAAGTCTAACGCAGTTTTTACTGCTAAACATAAAGCTGTCATCAATTTTGATAATAGAATGCTTTCTAACCAAAAAATATAGTCATTTTGGAAACATATCACTTTTTCTATACCATACACCTGTTACATTCAGAGATCTGTTTCGATCTGTTTTGACAACTTTTATCCAAATATTTTTACACCATTCGATGCAGAATTGATCAATGTATATAATCAGTAAAAAAAATTCATGGGGATCTTTTAAAAAATATATCAAAATATTCGAAATACTTGGAAAATCGCTATATACTGGACCCTTCAGTTATCGAGTATTTTATGTCTAGCGTACCTAATGCAAGTTCAAACAAAGCTCAAAATAACACTGTTTGTAGGGTATTGTCTCCTCTATCGAATGGTAAATGAACAAACTTTGTCAGACAGACTTATGATGGAGAAAAAAATCGACTAAATACTAAACTTGACTACAACATGCATATTTATGCATACTGATCCTCAGGGGTCAAACTTGTGGGGCCTGGATCTCATGAAGGAAACACTTTCAAAACGAGATATTTTGGTTTTCTTAGTTTCATAAAATCCTCTATCGATCTAGCAAACAAAGCGAAAAAAATAAAATTTCACAGGTGCCAGCTATGGTCGGTGCTATTGTGGATCCTCTCTTAATCGTTTTGACAGATAATTATATAACATACGTAAGTCATTGATAACACAATAAGAAAATTATAGTTTCGTGTGAAAAATAATTTCTAGCTAATGAATGATATAATATCCAACATTAAAACGATCATATAAATCATAACTGATTATTTTTAATTTTGTGAGATGTTTTATCTTTCAGAGAAAGATTTGCGCATATTTCTATTTAAACTAACAAAGTTTTTCATCATTTCATTTCTTTTTTTAACTATGCATGATTCCATACCCACAAGATATCGTACAGAATATTATAAATATATGTCAAATTTCTATTTCATAGTTCTAGGTCAGTTAGATCTTATTACTACATAAGCGCAGACATATTTTAGCTAAGGAAAAAAGTTTTTTATTTGTCAATAGAAAATCTATAGAGTACGATCAATTTCAAGAATTTAAACAAAACTAGAACTAAATATTTAGAAAATCACAACTTTCGAAATAGACTTCTATTACAGGACGGATTAGTGGCGGAGCCAGGGGTGGACTCCCCTCCCCCAGAAATCTTTGAGCCTCTCCCAGGAAAATTTTTAAACCTTGTATTTTATTTGCCAACCGGGGCTCAAAGGTCCCTCAGAGGGGCTGAGCCCCCCCCCCCCCCCAGCTCAAAATTCTGGCTGCGCCACTAGGACGGATCTATATTTTATGGAAGAAGTTAGTCATTTTTCATTTTTCTGAAACCTATTTTCTCAAAAGAATAAGAGAAAGACATTCATACGCGAACTTGTGCATCAGTTATTATTCTTTAAAAAAAGTTTTAAGTTGGTAAATATGCATTGTCTCAAATACTTTATATTTATATATTTGATTATATTGATCAAAGTAAAAGATAAATATTAATTGTATTCTTATTTAATTCAAAACAAAAAAAAATAAATCAATACCTACCAATGTCACAATTAAAAATAAATCCCAAATCAAGTCTTGTCACATTTCGAAATTGAATACCAGCTACTTTACGTTGTCCTATTTTGAATGGTAATCTTAATGACAGACACACGCCAGGCTCATTAACATCTGCATAAGATCCTATATAAATATAAATATGATTTTTCTTTAAATCCGTTATCAAATTTTATTAAACATAATACATATGTCGTAGTTCCATCCTAGATTCACCTAGCTTTGATTAGGCAATCTTAGATTATTTGTTTCTTTTTTTCTTATATAAATCACTATACTAACCTGTATAAACTTTAATATGAGAAATATTAAGATATATTTCATTGAATCGTTCAAGAAATAAATAAACAGATGGATGTAAATTAATCGAAACATACTGGATATGTGGCCAAGTCAAAATACTTCGATGAAAACTAAAAGAATAACATATAGATATTCTTATAATAAAAAAGTTTAACTTACACTAAACCATTTATCCATTGAGGTATATTAACAATAGAAGAAGAGAGATATTGACATGACATAAATGGATCAAGGAAACAAGTTACATTTGTCAATTGATGTGAAATAAAAAATTCATCAATTTTAAACGAATTTATTAGTTTTTCAATATTATACGATAATAATTGACAATGGGAAATTATATGAAATTGAAAATATTTTATATTAATTATTACATCAGGTAAACAATATTGACGAATAAAATTTGCATCAACAACATATATTTGAATGATTGAATCTGAAAATAAATCCATTCTATTAATTTGAAGATGAAGTTTCAATTTTTGAATATGATTCAAATTATTAAGAATCCATTTCAAATAGGCTAATTGAAAATCACTATTAATTAAAGTCTTTAAAGTAAAATAATTCAATTTTGGTACCTATAATTAATACAAAAGAAAATTTATTCTTTGAATATATTAATTTTATTAGAAATTAATTTTCTCAACAAGTGATACTTATCAATTCATTCGAAGAATATCAAACACTTTTGATTGCCAAAATAAAATTTCTTTTATTCTTCTTTCTGGATCCACAAAAATTGGTCGAAAATTTCGTAATAAAAAGAATAAAAGCTTTCTTAAACAGAAACTCGAACGTTGAAGTCCGAAAACGAAATAAACATTAATTATATTAATATGCTAATATTAGAGAAAAATAGTGATTCAAACAATTAAGTTAGACAAACACGAAAAAAGAATAGAAGTACCCAAACCATGAGCAAGTTCTTCCAATTGTTGTAGTAAGATTGGTTATCTTGAGAATACACCTACAATCGAGTCATCGTTCACATCCTCACCCTCAACATCATCCTCATCCTCATCTTCATCTTCCCCTTCACTCCCATCTCATCCTCAAGATACAGTTCAGAGTTTGAGCTCCTGTTCAAGGAATTGCTTTTGTTCTTTTTATTAGGAAATTTTCGACCAATGTTTGTATGACGCAATTTTCGTATCGCCCAATTATCGGCGACCATTTTTCATTCGAACAATTTTCACTTTCTCCTTCTTTCTATTTTTTAACATATATATCAAATATATTTGAAGATGATGTCTGTGCTACAACAGTAACGCGAGACTATCTTGCAGTATAAGATGTTGTTCGAAGACAATTTCGAAGATCCGATAGCTTTTCTTTAACTATTTTTAGTTGTAGCTCTGTTCTGTTGTTTTTGATTTCCTACTCAATTATAGTTTCTCTTTTATTACGAAATTTTCGTGCACTATCGTCTAGAAATAAAGAACGCAAGATCGAATCTCAATTGGAAAAAAAGAAATGAAGAACATTTATTTTATTAAAAATAATTTTTAATACAGATGAAAAATTAATGATAATACATTCATTTTACCTTTTCAAACCAATTTCCATTTGATTTTATTAATATTTCCATATCTGACTTAGATCGAGGTTCCATATCCATTGATCGTTTAAAAATAACTGACAATCATTCAATATTGGGTATATATTCAATAAGATGTTCAAGAAAACATGTGTATTTAATACGAATATATAGATGACGAAGTGTCAAACAACCATATTGAATCTTATTCGAAATTAACTTTGTAGAAGGATGAGATGATAATACTAAACATTGATGAATATTGATAGGAGGATCATCATCGGCAACATCAAGTCGAACAAATATTAATTGACATCGGTCAGAAAATAATTGACGTATGAGCTGTTTAAACATAATTATTGATTTCCCTAATTTATATCAAAGAAAAAAGTAGAAATAGAATTTCATCATTAATATTACAATTTTCAACATCCAAATAAATCATATTTATTAATAAAACATTTTATTCAGTTACCTTAAATTCATTTAAGATATTATTAAATTCGCTTGTCAATAACTTTCGTACTTATATATATACTACATTGCGTTCTAAGAAAATATTTAAATGAATTTGAATTCGTACTGAGATGTATCGAATTTTTATTATATCTTTTTTTAAGACATTCATAGAGGATTCTAGGTTTCCTGCAACATCGTATTTTCTGCAGAACATCTCCTCTGCTTAGGAGAAGGTCCGCCAGAGGAAACTCATACTGTATCAGAAAATCCTCGGAGAACAAAACAGTTTTTCTCCGGGGATTTTCTGATATAGCAGGTGTCCCCTCTAGTGGACTCTTCTAATCATCTTGCATACATTATCTTGAATAAACATTTTCAGAATTTTTGAACTTCGTATCTACGCAATCGTTACATATGTATAACGTGATGAAAATTTTTCTATAATGACTAACTTTAAATTGCATAAAATGATCTCATTTTCCAGAACTTATCTGGTTCATACTTGTGTCCAGCACACTAACGTATCATTAAAAAAAGAATTTTTTCTCTTCTACCTAACTAGATATTGTATAGTATTGTTCAACTGTTTCCTCAATAATAAATAAATGAAACTTGAACAAAAATTATCTCATTTTGGGAATGGATCGAGTTCTATTTCAGTTCAGAAAAAACAAAGTTGAGTCCAATTGTGAAGTGAACTCTAACAAAGACACTTATGCAAGATCGTATGTCAACCGATGTAAAAAAAAAAGTACTATTTTTCACTTTCAATAGTTACCTTTTTGGACTAAAATATTTACATAGGAAATTCTTTTTCAACTAGTAAACTGATGCCTTTTCGTGATTCAAGATATTGGATGATTATATCAATCAAATTTAAACAACTATAAAAATATAAATTAAGATAAGAGATGTTAATAAGATTCATATGAAATGAAAAACTTGATTTTGAGAATTAGACATTTTCTTATAAAAGATTTATGAGAATGTTTGGGCTGTTTATAATCAAACAAACGATCTAATATTTCCATTAAAATTAATACAATTCTTAGCATTTAAGTTACACAAAAACTCACAGAAAAATTTGTCTCTACAATTGATTTTCAAGTGAAACAAAATATCTCACAAAATTGTTTTTTGAACAGAAATATGTTGAGGATAACTCAAAAACAAAAAACATTTAACTTCGCAACGATCTAAAAGAATAATAATTAATTACTTGTATGACGAATAATTCTCCGTGGATCTTCTGGATCTCGAATAAATTTTATCGTATTTTCATCTATTGATAGTTTAAGTTGATCTAATTGATATTGAATAAGTAAAGATAATGTTCTAATTAATGATTGAGATAATACACATTGATTTATCTTAATTGATTTTAAATTAGGAAAATAAGGAATATTATTATTATTATAAAAAAAAAGATTGATCAATAAGATTATAAGAATTTGAATTAATTCCATCAAAACAAATATGTTTAATAGCAGATGAAATTAATGATGAATTATAAATTAAGGGTAATAATATTTCAGAAAATGTTTTATAAGATAAATCTGTTTGATTAAGAATAATTCCATTCTTATCTTTTGAAAATATTAAATAAATAAGAAAATTAATACGTGTATTTAATGACTATAATGATATTAAGATTTTATCCCATGAAAAGTAACAAAATATATTGAGCAATATTTCATTAGGTAATATTTCCAATTTACTTACCATTTTTTATTTCAAAATAATTAATAAATATATAAAGAACATGTTTACACGATAATCTATACATATCGCATGTTTATTCCACCTAAAGTGGAGGCAAAAAGTTTAGAAACAACAATTTTTTTTGTTTTTTTTCATAATATTAAGCACCGAGGTCCAATCCAAATAGTGATTTTAATAGCCAATGGAGTTTTCTATCAAATACACGTCATAGCAAGATTTCACCGAAGAACAATGATGGCACGGTTCCTAAAAAACCGAACACGGTATTTTTCATGTCTCACAAGACTTTGTCAGAACTATTTTTGACAATGCCATCTTAAAGAGCACAAAATTCTAAGCAAAATGAGAGGTCACCGAGTTTTCTACGACTTTTCCTTAAAAAGTTACAAGCATCACAAAAATTATAAAACGAAATTTCTTAAAAAATCGCTAAAAATCAACTTAAAAACGCCTTTTCATCATTTTTGTGATGTTTGTAGGGTATTTCCATGGGTATTCAACCCCAAAAAACNATGATGCAGTGACGAAATTAGGGGCCAAAAATGGCTTGATGACGAAATTAGGGACACTTTTTTTTGTCAATTTTAGACATCTTCCTCGCAAGTTATTGAACTCATTATAGACAAATTCGTTTGTCAGGAACCTTTAGATTATGGTAGATCTTGACACGCTCTACAAAATTGCTCCGGTGACCTTTACTCGTTTTCCGATGAAAAAGCCTAAAAAACTTGTTTTCTTTGAAAGATAGGATTTTACTTGAATTTTGTAGGCGTGTCGAAATTAGGGACCAAAAATGGCTTGCTGTCGAAATTAGGGACAGGGCTCCTAATAACGACAGATTGAGTCCATGATCGTATACCGCTGATTTCTCTATTAAAACATTGGAGGAAAAAACTCATTTATACACCATTCGAAAGGAGAGAATCCAGGGATCATGGATATATAAAAATATTTCCATTCATATGTAAAATAGTTGTGAACGAACTCAAACAAGATGAAGCAATTTTTTGCTGTCGTAATTAGGGACATTTGCTCTATGTAGACCAGTAGTTAATAAACGTCCAGCAAGTTTATGGGCGCTTAATTCTACACCATATCCAACAATATTACCAAAAGAATACAATATACTCATTCAAATATGAGATAATAAAGACCGGCATAGTAATGTTTCGTTATCGTATTTCTCTATGGCGCAAAGTATAATAGCTGTATATACACCATAGTAACTAAGATTAATAATCAAAGGGTACGTGAAAATAGTTTTAAAAATGATAAAAAATCGATTTCAGGATCTTGCGGTTTTCGCATCATTATACGTAAAGCATTATTGAATATGAGATTAGAAAAATCAATTAATTGTCTTCGTAAAGTAGTAACAGTGATATCACCTATCACTATATCACAAACACCGTTACTTACAGCTTGAACTAATTCGTTATATAATTGGCTTGATGATGCTATGCATCATATTAGATATCAATGAGAAAATTACTGACGAACATAACAGAATTTTATGGCAAGGAAATGTGATCACTATTGAAACGTCATGTTTATGAATACGATGAACTTGAGAAGAACTAACTAAATTAATAATACCTTCTACTTGTTCGATTTTGTTTAGAATAGAAAATTAAAATTGTTGACGCACATAGGTCACTAGTTGTATATGAAATCAAAGCTTCGCGAATACTTTTATCTTGATTTTTATCCGAAGTATTTAAATGTATATCAAGTCCACATAACCACATATTAAGAGTTGACGATTATACCATATACAGAGTGTAACAAAACCATTACACCCCCTCCCCTTGTACAACTTAAAGTATAAATGATGTCACGAAATATTTTATATCAAGTTAGTGCTCATCAAAAATTGGGTTTATGAGTGTAATTAGAGCAATTATTGAGTATCAAATTATTGGGTGTGGGTGTGGATGTGAATATTGGTATTAATTTCAGACCCATACCCGCACCCACCCCACCCTTCAATAATTTCATAGTCAATAATTGCTCTAATTATACTGATAAATTCAATTTTTGATGAGCACTAATTGGGTATAAAATATATTGTGATGTCATTTATCCTTTAAGTTGTAGATGAGGCGTAATGGTTTTATTATATCTTGTAGATACAGTTATTTACTGTTTTAAAAATTAAAATGGTAAATATCGGCTGGGGAAAATGAGAAAGTTCATTTAATAGTAATCGTTACAATCATACAGAACACATTCATTCTTTTGTATGTCGTATGTGCTTCATAACATTTGAGTTCCTTTTGAATCCTTTTAGGTCAAGTTCATCTACATATTTTAACGACGCTTTGGGTAGTTATTTTTTTCATTTACACCCTCCGTTTAAAACTTATGTTCTTGTTTTTCAAAGATTTACTTATAGCCACTAGCATATAACTTCTGGAAAAGTTTTGACTCGAACCACGTGTTTCAAAATTTATGAAAATTCTCTTGATCGATTGAACAATGAAATAAAAATGTGCGATTTCCTTGTCATCATACTCCTCTCTTTTTTCATGGGTCACTGAAAGAACCAAATTATATTGCACAAATAATAATACGTCTAATCGTTCTTTCTCTCCATGCCATATTGAAAATACTTATACTACTCTATTGATGTAGTTATTTTATCAACAACTCTTTCGGATCTATCTTCTGCTATGGTTCAATTTCTTGCATGAATCAATCAAAATAAAGCAACGATTATATGTATCAGTGATTATATGCATGACGTTTGTGTTCGTGTTGCACAAAACTCAACAATATTTACTAAGACATTCATGTTACAATCCCCAATATTAATCTGAAAAAATCAGTAATTGCTATTGATTTAGTAATAAAGAATATGAAATAGAATTTATATATTTGCCACAACCAAAGTTATACAATATCGAAAGGGGTGATATATTCTATAAAGTGTTTGTTTTAGAGATATTAAATATAAGTGTCATTTCTTTTTCAGTTCAAGAACAAAATGGAAGAAGGAAAAAAACGACAGAAAAAAACAAAAAATAGCGTAAGAGAGAGGGTTGTCATGATGAAATGAAAATATGTTTATGTTAATTGTTTTTTTTCTTAACTTAATGACAATCATTAACTATTGTGCTGGTGCACGAATAATTCGTTTTCGAATAGTTTTTGAAGCATCTTCTCTATTATTAGATTCATCATTATTGTTTGTCGATGTTGCTGTTGAACTTGTTAGATTAGTTGCTATTGTTGTTTTCTTTCGTCGACGTCTAGGACGTTTTGTTGTTACTTTTTCTTCAATTGGTGTAGTTGTAGAAGCAGCAGTTGTTTTCGATAATTCATCTTTTATTGATGTAGTAGATGTTCCTCCTACGTCAATAGATGGAAAAGCAGGTGCAACTGCTTTAACTTTTGAATACATGTATGCTAAAGAAAGAAAGAAAGAAGTTATATAATGCTTGCATTTATAAATTTCTTATCGTCTAAATCCAATGACATACATGCAATTCGACAACGATGGAATAATGAAAAAACAAAAAGAAAACAATGAAGACAACATTAATTTTTACCTCCTACCACAATGATAAAAATAGTACCCACAATTCCCATAATAATCATCATCTAATAATGGCCCATGGAGAAACGAAGAATTTATTTTGTGAAAGATCGTAAGTAAAAAAAAAAAAAGGAAACTTTTCTATACTTATTTTACATTTACCTTCATATTTTGCAACCAAAATTTTCGTTTTAATTTTCCTGCTTGTTTTTCAAATTGAGCTGCATTAGTTTGTAATTTATCTTAAAGGAAAAAAACGACAAATGATTAAAACTCTGAAAATTAATTTTCCTGATTTTTCAATATACCAGCTCGATCGTCGAGAAGTGACAAATTTTTATCACGTTCTAATACCTTATCGATATTTTGTCTCATTATATCCACAACTTCATCGATTTGTGCCTGTTGTTGAGCCAAACGTCTTGAACCACCAGCCCCTGAACCAGCAGTTGGTGCTGACGCATCACCTGCATTAGTTGCCCTATTTAAAAAAATGAACCTATTAAATAAAAATGTTTTCCTTAATTAAATATTTACATATTATAAGATTAATTTAATTTCACAATATAATAATTAAAGAATCTAAAGATAAAAAATATCATAAAATGGGTTTGGTTGTTTGACAAATCGAAACATAAAAATAAGCATATAATGATTCAATTTTGTTGACGTATGAAATACATACGTAAAACAATATCATCGATAATAAATATTCTAAAATAAATAAATAAAAAATTTCGATTTCGAAATCATTTTCACTGGATCCAGATTAATCAATAAGTCTACGAATAATGAATATAAGTGGTCAAACGTTCAACAGTAGCTTGACAAGTTGAAAATAATGGATCGTATTGCCATTATCGGACAGACAGAAACCAATAAAGCTTATATATGTAGTATAAACTTCATTATACCAAATGTTAAAATAATATTTACCATGTATAAAACGATTTCAGTGTTTATACAATTCTTCAAAAGAAAAATAGGTGACACTTCAACAACATGCACCAAAAAATTTCTATTGTTTGAAATTAGTGTGTCTGCATACACTCCTTCCTTTTTCTATTTCTCAAATGTCATGGGATATAAGCTGCTTTTGCTTATTCCATAATATTCCGAAAGAAAAATAATAATAAGAACTTCTCATGTCGTTCAATCTCGTTCTTCTACAACATGATTATTGGAATAACTGAATCACTTTACACTAAGAACAGAAGACACGATAGGTCTGACCAAAACATTATTATATTGGAGAGGCTGATCTCTATTCATAAGGTTATTTTGTGAATGACTCCTCTGGGACTGTTGTGCGACAATAAATGGTTTCGATCTAATTCTGAACAAATTTGACTTTACAATGTCACAAGATTATCACTCAATCTAACAAGTCTATCATGATTATTTTACTAGGAAGAAACTGTTTTCAAGTGTTGAATTGCTTTGTGAATCACAACTATGTATATCATGTAGGCCCTAATGAACTATGAATACCCTGGAAAAAGTTCAAACTAATAATTTATCGCTACCAACAACATATTGTATTTATTAGTATAATGCTGTTTTCGCCCGTCAAAAAAAATTGAGTTTCAAGCATTGAATCGAAAATTCGGACAGAGACAGAACTAAAAGAGAATAGTTTGTTTATTATCTATAATTTCAGATCATTCTGTTTTTTCTATTCTAAGATATTACCAGCCGAAAAAAATGTAATTGACTCTACTCGAAGGGTGTGAGTGTGTGAGCATGACTGTTGAAATTGACAAGAACGTTGTCGAAGCTCACATTCACACTCTTGTTTTTATTGAATAAATGATATTTTTCAAAGTTCTATTCCAATAAATGATCAAGGTACACTCACAAGCTCCTAATTTGCATCTTATTTTAAAGACTTGAAATCAGAGTCACCGACTGATTGAGAGCAAGAATGATATTGAACGAGTGACTGATAGTGGCTAAGAAAGAGAATACAGAATAAGCGAAAATAAATCGGTGAAAATCAAGAAAAGTGATAGTATGGTGATGAATGGACGAGTGAAATTCAGAACGCTGAAGATCTGAGGATGAGCGATTAATGGTGAGAAGTGAGTTGACGTACAAAAACGATATTGGGTGAATGTATAAGGTTATTATTTAAACCCATCCACCACCGATTTTTACCCATTCTCAGTCACTGTCGCTCACTCTTTCAATGTCATCGTCACCCTCAATTAGGCAGTGACTGCGATTTCAAACCCTTAAAACAAACTACAACCAAGAAGCTTTACTCCATAATCATATTTTCGATTTCAAAAGATATATAAGAATTGAGTTCGTTCAATTAGGCTTCGTATAATAAATAAAGGCATAAAGTTTGATCATGTCATCGAATAAGATTTTGGAAAATATTATTTATTTAGAAAAACCAAGCTGTTTCTCGGACGTTTCGATTACTCTGTATGATAAATGTGGATATAAATTTCATTAGCTTGCATTCCATTTCTCGGAATTAATGGTCATTCGAATGATTTAACAGACAACAAACTCAAGTTGAAATGACTTCATTCGTCTTCTTTAATTCACGTAACGAACATCCGGGCTCGACTAAAACGGAGGATGTAATGGCATTGTTTATGATGAAAATTTGACCCGCTACGGTGTTATGTTGCCTCGTTTAAACACAGGCAGTAGTATGACCGTATTTGCCCGTATAGTATACGGTTGTTAGCGATTTTTACGATAGTAAATATAACGTTTTTCTAGTTTCCTTCTGATTTTGATCAATTTTTGTATCCGGATGAAATAATTTATTGACAAGATCTTGTTAAATTCTTACAAGATCAAATAATTTTAAAAAAGACCTGATTTATTTAGTAAAGTTAATATTTGCTGACTACATCGTTCGATTAACGATCTAAATAAAAAAAAAATCTTTCTTTTGAAATAAATAAATATTTACATTTCAATATATTGTTCTTATTGGATTTAAATAAATAAAAGTTATTTAATGAAATTTATATTTACTTGTCGACGATATCGTTCAGATTAATCTTCATAAAAGAATCATTACTATGTAAATAATAGTTCTTCCTAATCAGATTGCTGAACTCATTTGATTTGTCAAATGAATTCGATTAATTCTGATTAATATAATGAAGATATATTTTCAATTGTAAAAAAGGAAACATAAATTATGATTATATAAGATAGCATATGCTCTTAGAAGATTCTAATCTTCTAACATTGTAAGAATCTTATAAGTAGAACCACGTAAGATCTTTGTACGTTTTCGTCAGATCATACAGAATGGACCTTAAGAAATCCGAGTAACAGCAACATTTGTAAGACCTTATTCAATCTTCCTACGATTTTGTCACCTGAGAATTTTCTATTTTTTTTTTTCAGTTCTCTACAGTGCGAGACAATCTTATTACACCGCTGGACTGTTTATTTGATTCTTTTTTCTACATTCTCCATGGAAACAAAATCTATTGAATGCTAAAAGAGAAGGGCTTCTTTGTGTGGTTCGACACCTTTGGGAAATCTGACTAGAATATGTGTCGTTTACTGTGCTCCATGAACGATCATCGGAAACATAGTCGTATTTCGCTGCTCTTAGATCATATACAATTTTCACCGTCTTTTTATCGTGTACAGCCGTTTACTGGTCATTTTATTCGACCTGCGATGATACTTTTTTTTCTTGCTCTCTTTGTCTTTTATAATAGTTTGGCAATAGACATATCTGGCCATAAACATGACTCGTGCATCATTTGTTGACATGTTTTCTTATCAATGTTTTTATTTTTGTGTATGCGTTTCACGATTAGATTCTAAAATAAATAGTTTATCCTATGAGCTTTCGAATGAAATAAAAATTTCATTATTTTAAGTTTATCATCAGATAATTAATGACGTTTATTGTGATAAAACTGAATGTCATACTCTGCATACTTGTCTTAAATTGCAGTATATCTACCAAATTCAATATGCAAATACGAAATAATGTTCTTATGTAATTACATCGAAAAAGTGAACAATATAATCTTCTCTCTACTTTTTCTTGGTTTCTTATTGAAATCTGTGGATCGATTTTCATTGCGTGTGCTTAATCCATTTTGATCTCTAACATCGGATAAAATGAGTATCATACATTCAATACAAAAATATAAAAGTTGTTTATTTAATATTGAGATAATTAAAAACAGGTATCTCTATCTTTTTTTTGACCAACAAAAAAAAAGAAAGATCACAAAGAAATTGACTATTTAAATGCATTACCAAGTTCAATGTCTGTATCATGAATAATAAATAGATGAGTGATTTTAATTGGTGAGAAATTATTTTTTTGTCAAATATTCTATAATAGCATCACTGTTTTCAAATGCTTTTTCTCGAAAACCGTTCATAGAAGATGTTCAAGCCAAGGAAGTGAACTTCATGTTCGAGAAAATTAGAGTAGAGGTTTTCTTAAATGGAAATTAGGGCATGAAGTTCATGCACAGGTTTTGTGAGCTATTAGCCAACAGAAAATAGTGCAATTGTTATTTTGTTTGTGTTACCATTCAATACAATTCTCTTTCAGGGTGTGGATATTCATCTTTTATTTTCTCACACCCACACATTTAGAGTATCAAATTCTCTCTTGATTGATGCCAAGCACTTTCAATTTAGATTAGAACCTAATGGTACAGAAACTCACATAAATCAGCTGATGTTCAACGAAATTATTGAAGATTGTAGCTAACGTATTGAATGTATGATACTCATTTTATCCGACGTTAGANGAAAGAGCGCTACTCAAGATTATATTAAACTATCAATGGTAATTTTGAATATATGTATACGAATTTTCCACAAGGGCAAACGCTGGCGATAGCATGTTTAAATTTAACTATGGTAATAGCCGGTAATATACTCATGCTCAACTTATAGTGACTCATCGCTTTATTTTGTTTTCGGCTTATATTGTCTGTCGAATCACAATAAATGTACATTTTTATGCACTTTGGACGTGTGTACTATATACTAATGCATGTTAATCCGGTGTCTTGATTTACACTATCGTTTATCACTTAATTTCAGTTTTTAGTAAATAAATAAATAAAAAATACACTTGATTGATGAGTCGTGACAAAATGTTTCTTTGGATTGAATGAATATACTCAAGAGAATCATCACTATTTTTGACGAGTTATTGAATAACGGAGTAAAACCCATGTTTTAAAAATGAATTCCATAAAAAATTGTAAAACCATAAATTCTTTTAATTTCAACTAATAAATATTATGAACAGCACCACGTCTTTCATGTAGTAGGTACGCAAGGACTGACAATGATTGAGTACATAAGAAAGTAAAATCATCCTTGCTCATGTTCAACAACTACAAATTTAATAATGGAATATTTTCTTGCAAAATCATATATACTAAAAAATACACTCAAAAAAGTTATGTTCGGAAAAAAATCACCTATTGATAGCTGCATATCAATCAAACAGTTTCATTTTCATCAGCAAATAATCAAAGATTAAGACAACATCTTTCTTATACAAATAAAAAAAGAGTAGTCGATTACTCTTATTCAAAAATAATCTATCTCTTATTAGTACTCTCCAGATGAAATTATTTTTTTTCAAAAAAGTTTTCTTTTGTAGAGTTTATTGACTAGTTTCTGTCCAGTTACAACTTGGCTTCATCAGTATCTATAAAAACAAAAAAGAAAATGTAACAGAAAAAATAACAGAAAAACTCTAAAAGGCCCTAAGGGCCCCATTGGAGACAATGAAAGCATGTCAGATAGCCGAAGGAGCCTCTGCTTGCAAAACAGGCAAAAAACCATGGACGAGAAAGACCAGATGCGAACATTTAATTATCCGTTGTGTTGTGTTGTTTAATTTATGTTCATTTTTTTGTCCGTTTCGTTGTTTCATGGTCATTATATGTCCATTAATTACAACGCTGACGTTGGAAAATAATATAGCTATAATGAGATCACCACATATTTAGTTCATTGACCTGTTAAGAAACTTCTTTCTTCATGAATCAGAAGTGTTTTCGTAACTATTCTTGAAGGTGAAAGTTTGTGTTCGTAGACATGAAAAACTACCTCATTACCTCAGTGAAACAATTTTTGCTACTTTCTTATTTTCATTATACACAAATTTTTGTACTTTGAGTTAGGCTTAGCAAAAATCTTAAGTATTAAGTTGTTTATCAATTTTAAGTAGCGATTTGTCTGGTTTCTTTTTTACAAGATAATTTTGATGACTAGTTAGTCTTCTAGAACCGACAATTGTATTTCATCTTACAAATGGCTGTACCCGAAACACAACCGTCTCAGAGTTTACAAAAACGGGTCGAAAAATCGTGCATACCTTTGCTATAAGAAAAGTGATACATAATATTAACCTTGAAATCAATTCCAGCCCTCTTTACATAATTATCTGCGGTGTTCAGAAAGATTTTTCTTATATTCGAATAGTTCTTTCGTGTAGGTACCGCACATTGAAATTTCTACGAAACTCTTTCTAGTTGTTTAAGAATGAAATCCATTGGGTATCTTTTCAGAAGTAATGACATATATATGTGAGCTTCTTCACGCTTAAAAGCACTATAACTAGAAGAATATCGTATTTCTCTTACAAGAGCCCCAAATAGAATATTCTTTTTTATGTGTTCTGCATGTATGCTTGTGAAAGGGAGAAAATATGGTCTATGTGATGGTTTATGAAAAACTTATGTCACCAATTTACCTCCTCTATTCTCTGGTTTTATATCAAGATATTCTGCGGTAGGTCTTATAGATTCTGCAAATTCAATATTAATATCCAGTTTATTCCAGAAATGTACAAGACCTTTTAGTATATTTGTATGTACGTTTGACATGATGAACAGATCTTTGATGTATCTATAATACAGCGAGCATCTCGTATTAGCTCATTTTAAGATCGGGCGTTCTACAAAGTGCATGTATGCGCTTGCTATTGTCAGGGTAAATGGTGAGCCCATCACTCCTCTTTATTGTTTATAATATGACCCATCTAGACTAATCTGGCAAGAGCTAAAAGGATTTATTTCTTAACGCCGTCAATTTGTCTCAAACTAGATGCTTCTATCAGTCGTTTTATGGCTGTTGCTTCTCCTTCTCGTGGAATCATTGTTATGAATGATGTAGCTGGTGTAAGATACCTGGTCGACCATTTCTCGACTTGTTTTATTAATTGAACTCCATTCTGAAGGGTTGTATCACACGCCAATCGATTAAATCGTGATCTTAATAGTTCATCTAACCATCTAGATATTGCTATGATTGGGGATTTAAGATTCGACATTATTGGTCTCAATGGTGTTCCCGGTTTATGTGCTTTTGGTAAGAAATAAAGGTGAGCTAATTCAGCCTCTTCTCTATTGACCTTTAATTTTTCTTATTGACTTTGTGGAATATGTTTATTGACTCATAAACCAAGAAGGAAGTTATTTGTTCGTTTGACTAAGGATTCAAGTGGGTTAGTGGTACCCGAATCTTGATATACTTGAGTCTTGGTCATATATGCTTGAGCTTTCATTTTATAATCATCAACTTTTTCTAAATGGAAAACCTTAGATTTATCTGTCTTTCTGATCACTGTTTGTGTAGCTTCAAATTTATTTCTTATTTTATTGATTTCTTTTAATTCAATAGATGGAGAGTGTCTATCATGGTAATCGGTGAGCATCTTCTCCAGCGAGCCTGTGAAGACTTGTACTCGTTGTCTCGGTAATACCCATCCATGTTCAACGAAGATCTTGTTTATTTTCTTTACAACCAACTCGACGGTTTCAATTTATGTTGGCTTGATTTATTACTCTTGGATTACGAAATTCGTCCATAATACTGGATTCAGATCTCTTGTTTCTTGTATCATGAACAGCGTCTCTTTGACGCCGCATTCAGCTAAAAAATGAACTTCTCTGTCAGTTTCCAATAAAGCTCTTTTAAGTGCAATTTCAATATATTTTGAAAATAATTCTAAACCTTTGAGAATGACCACATTCTCCTTTCTTTGCAACAATGGTCTTTGAGTAAGGATTCCCTCATCATCAAAAGGTTCTTCATCGTCAGCATCAGTAAGATCTTGCGCTGATATTATCTCGTCTTTATCTTTTCGAAATTTCTTCAAGAAGTTTTGTAATCTTCTTGAAATTCCAATTCTTCTTTTGCAATTTTCAGATAGAGTTCTATTGCTTTTAGCCGAAAATTTCTTGATAAATTATGTATGTTTTCTTTTTTTCCTGGACCTGTCCACTTGAAAGTGAAGATTCGTCCGCGGGAAGATTGAAAACATACTACTGTGACAATACTTTTGGTATTATATCATATAAAATATGTGCAGCTATCAAATCGAATTTTTTCTTCTTTTTATGATAGCTGTTTATTACTGGCCTACCGAAGGTATTAGCATAAATGTTTTGTTGTTCAGATAGAACATCTTTAAATGCCTTTAGAGCATCTCATTCATCTTTCTCAAGAGAAGCACGACGAATTCTACTGATGCTCATCTTTGACAAACCTGGTATATCTTCTTTAATGTAATCTAGCATAAGATCATGTACTCCTTTTACAACGATGGAGGCTCTTGATATGCTAGGGTCAGACGAAAATTCTCTCATATTTCGTGTGATAATGTTGTCAGCATCGAAACATGCCGATGTAAAATATGAAATTTTCTTTTCACACGCTACTATATTCGTCTTAGGCTCTCATGGAGTGTGTCATATTGATTACTTCTTTAGCCCAATGGTCTTTCTCTTTATCTAGATTGTAGTAATGTTGCCAGACTTGGGCTTCATATTTATTGTGTACCCATTTATCATATACTTCAAATGTACTTTTTCAATAAGTACATACTCCATAGAAAGCATCTTTAAATTCTAGTTTTATTTTTCTATCATTGTTCACACGATCTTTTAGATAAGCAAGAATCTTAAAACCTTGTAAATATGTTTTAGTTTTTTGCTTATCTGTAATCGATGATGGTTCTTCATTGTTTTGTTCCTTTTCACTTAGGACACTAGTCTCTTGTTCTACTTGACGCTGGTTATTTTCTCGCACTTTCATTTTATTAATTTCGACGATCTCTTCATTATTTATTGGAGCTTCTATTGTTATCATCAGACTTGGTTTCTCTGTTGTGCTTTCGGGAAATAGAATCAGATCATTATCTGTTTCTTTCATGTTCCTTCGGAAAGCTGTAATGGTAGTCATGATTGACTTTTTTCTCTGTATGTTATGATATAGATGCTTTAGTTTTTTTTCATGACTTTTGAGGAGTCGGTTGTCTCTGAAGCAGAGGGGTTTTCTTTAGTGTCGTTTTTCGTGGCTTTTGATGCATTTCGAGGCTCAGAAGTTATCAGTGTTTGACCTTCATCTAAATCTAGTTCTGTTAGAAGATTTGAAAATGTGCATATGAGTGTTCGAGCTTTAAAGGTATTTAGTTTTGTTTTGTGATTTGTGGAAGCAATTGTTTAATGCTTTTTCTTTTCAGTTACATTTTCTTTAGATTAAAAAGAATGTTGCTGTTTTAGTATATTTTTATTGAATAAATATGGTAAAATAGATGCTTATAAAAACGAACGGAAATGTACCTCTCGGGCTTAAAGGGCTCGGAGAGGTTAACAAAAGAACAAAAACGAACAGGTTGGTGGCGGATCTAAAGGACCTCGTCCAGTAGTGTCGCGGTATGATCGACATTGCAGTCATCGATGAGGAAGACAATGATAATNTTTTATTATTATGATCTTAATAAAAAAAAAATATTGTCAAACCATATGATTACCAATTAAATTCATATATTTTGTTATTTTTTCTTCCAATTTTTTCCTTCTTTTCCTCCATTTTTTTTCGTTTTTTGGTCGGGCACAAGCCAGAAAATCATTCTTATGGTAAACAAATTTAAAAAGTCAATGTTTTATATTAATTTCGGGTGTGGGTGTGGGGTGTGGGTGTGGGTGTGGGTGTGGCGGGTGTGGGTGTGGGTGTGGGTGTGGGTTGTTTCAGCGTCTTTACCCACACCCACACACACCGACCCCCACCCACATCCACACCCACACCCTAGTTTACCTAGATCATAGAATCGTTGCCAGACTTGCCCTTCATAATGATCATGTACCCATTTATCATATGTTTCAATAGTATTCTTTGCATATGCACATACTTCATTGAAAGCATCTTTTAAATCGAATTTCAATTTATGATCATTATTTACTCGATCTTTGAGATAAGCGAGAATCTTAAAACCTTGTAAATATGTTTTAATTTTTCGTTTATCTTTAGTAGTTGATGATTGTTGGACATTATTTTGTTCCATTTCAGGATTAGATACGTTTATTTGATGCTGATTATTTCCTTGCGTGTTTGTTTTCTTACTTACAACATGTTCGTTATTTATCAGAACTTCTGTTGTTGTTTTAATTTGTCTCTTCTTACTGACTACATTCATACGTGTGCCAGCATTTTGTTTTTCTTGTTTCGACAAGTTTCTTTGTTCATTATCTTTCATGGCTTCTATTTCATTATCAACCCCTGAAAGATCTTTATCAGTTTCTTCATCATTCGTTACAGAGAGAAGATTAAAACGATTATCACTTAATCGACCTAATTCTTTACTTTGTTCAAGTAAAAATGCTCGATTTCGTTGACCCCTTTCTCTTATACGAAGTGTGTCAAGATGAGCTTTTTCAGATGTTTTCTTTGTACGTGAATGTTTTGGTCCTGAAACTACATTGCTATTATGACCTTTCTTATTCACTTGAATGGGTGTCGTTATTGACACACCACGATATTCATGTGTAGTCATATTATTAGCTGCTGTTTCTTGTCCTTGCCGACGTTCCGGCATGAAATGAACTAACCGACGTGTCATTGGTGTTCTCCATTTTTCTGTTTGTTTCAGAATTCCACGTCGTGGTGTATGAGGAGTTACTGAATGACCTTGAATTTGGTTCTTTCTATTAAAAATAGATGAACTTTTATTCATTGTCAAATTATCCATTGGATAATAAAATGGTGGTGGCTGTAAAGGCATTTGTCGCCCATATACGAAACCTTCCGACCAATTTTCTCGTTGCCAATTTAATGGAATATTGTTTGGATCAAAAAATGGTTGTTGGAAATAAAAATGTTGTTGTTGATAATCAAATTGATTGTGTTGTGGATGTTGATAACCAAATTGTAGAGCATTTAAATATGATGTTGATTGTTGGCTTTTTTGTTGTTGGTGGTGATGGTGGTGTAATGGCATCATCTCGATGGTATCTTGTTTTTTTTTTAAAGAGAAAGAAAACTACTCTTGGACTAATTTAAGATCTTTCGACTCTTTAAATTAGCCAACTAAGACTATATAAACCTTTTCTTCTACTCCGAATGAAAAAAAGTAGTCGATTATTCTTATAAAGATATAATATATCTTTTGCCAATATACTTTCTCGAGATAAATAACGTTTTTCTTCTTTTGTAAATTTTTATTGACTAGTTTCTGTCAAGTTATAACTTGAAGTCATCAGAATCTAGAGAAAAAAGAAAAAATTTAAGAGAGAAAGCTGAAAAAGGTCCAAGGGGCCCTATCAGAAATGGAAGAAAATCATGTTAGGGCGGAAAGGGCGTATCTAGTGGTATTATGTAAAAGGTATCTGATGGGCGAAAAGGGCGCTCATGACCCAAAAAACCAAACAAAGAAACCAGTTGTTATGCGGGGAAAAGTGTGAGGGGCTGAACGGGTTTGTTTGTGGTGGGTGTGGTTGTCGGTGTATGATGAGAAAATGTGTGTTTAAGCAAAGGAAAATGTGTGTGTTCTTGTCTTTGTTTCTTGTTTTATTATAGAAATAGTAGTAGTTCGAACGGTTTCTGTTCGTTTATAAAGAAACGTCTTCAGGAAGTACAATATAATCAATAATAACGATGATATATAAAAGATCTGTTCAAGAATCGCAAGTTGACAATACCAATGGCTTTGTTACGGTATGTTGCAAAAATAAAACGCTTGAAAAAAAATATATAAAATAAAGAAGAAAGTAGAAAAAACAAATGGAAAAAAACAAAAATGGAAAAACATAATGGAAAATGAAAAATGACTAGTATGAAAATAAGAAACAAAAAACTTAACAACTATTTGTCGTTGTCGATCATCATTAAGTCTAAGTCGAGATCAATCGATGACGAATCATAGCAGATTGATGAACCGTTGGCTGTTGTTCCAAAAACGCGGCATGGAGGAACACTTAATACTGCTAATGATTTGTTGGAAAGTGATGATGTTCCAGGTGAATTTACCGGATCGTCGGTTAATAATGGTGGTGATAGTGGATCCGAAATTTTTATAACATCAGTATCAGTTCGTGCCATTTCCGGTGACTTGTCATCGGTTTTGTTTGGTCCAGAAGGCTGGATCGCTTTGTTCTTGTTGTTGTCGCGTTTTTTGGCTGCTATTTGTTGTAGCCAGTGCGATCTTTTCTTGTTGATTCTTTTTACAGTACTATTTGACTTTTGATGTGACGCCTGTGTGGTACTTGCTCCAGTAATGCCATTGAAAGGAGCTTGTACATCTTCCGTCGGACGGTTGTGAATCTGTAGGACGTCGACGATCGATTAGTATCGTCGAGTGTAATAGAATTGCTTACTGTTGGTGGTGAAGCACCCACCACCTTCTTTTTCTTTACCAGCTGCTCCACTTTCTTTTGTTCAGGGTGGGTGTGGGAGGCTGTGGGTGTGGGTGTGGTGAAGAAAACAGCAACACCCACACCCACCCGTACTGATTACATGTCTTCGGAGAATATCCCCGGAAACTCAATTATGTCCTAGGGTAAGAGGTATAGAGATAGATAGGTATAGGAGGTAGAGTAGATATAGGAGGTATAGGAGATATAGGAGATA